AAAACAGCAGGCCGTCTGCTTCCTCTCTGTTCACTTAAGAAAAAAATTGAACCACGATTCATAAACGAGTCTCCAGGCCCTTTATAAATTGGAAAGATTTTCTTTCTAGTAGAATATAGCTCAGAGATGTTTGGGATGCCTGCAGGTCAAGAAGCAGGATGGTCCTTCCTGGAGCCCGTCTCTGGGTTGGGCCCTTAGTCTACATTGTTTCCTTTAAGACTTCCCACCAGCCAGGTTTGGTGGTACGCGCCTATAATCCCAGCAGCTCAGGAGGCTGAGGCAGGAGGATTGCAAGTTCGAGGCCAGCCTCAGCAACTTAGTGAAGCCTCTAAGCAACTTAAGACCCTGTCTCAAAATTAAAAAAAGAAAAAAAAACATAAAAAGACTGGGGGTATGACTCCGTGGTTAAGCACCCCTGGGTTCAATCCCAGGTACAAAACAAAAACAAAAACAAAAAAAACCCCACCAGCCCAGAAGTAAAAATAATGTCCCAAATCCACAGATGAGACTATCAGGTGGCAGTGGCCTTGCCAAGTCCACCTGATCACAACAGGAGAGAGGAGATTCAAGTTCCAAGCTCTCGAGTCCTCAGTGTGAAGCGAACCCCCAGCCCCCACTGACTGCCCTCAAGGCCAGGCGTGCAGAGACCAGCAGCCCAGCCCCCACTCCTGCCCGCCTTTGCCAACATCAGGATCATCTCTTTTTAAAAATCAGCATAAAGGGCTGGGGATGTGGCTCAAACGGTAGTGCGCTCGCCTGGCATGTGTGCAGCCCAGGTTCGATCCTCAGCACCACATACCAACAAAGATGTTGTGTCCGCCGAAAACTAAAAAATAAATATTAAAAAAAAAATCAGCAAAAAACGAGTATTCAAAAATAAACTTGTAAAAATTAAAACTTGTTCTCAGGTCTGACAACCCCCCCCTCCCCCACCACTGCTGGAAGGTCTGTTGTAAGAAGGCCCAGTGGCCTCCGGCAAGTCCCACCAGCCCCCAGCCCTGCCATCATTGTGCAGTTCAGATGCCGCTGCCCACCGCCTACTCTCCAGGAATCCAGGAGGAAGAGGGAGGTAATTGGCAAAGGCTGGATTTGATGGTTTACCCTCTTCTCTCTTAATCCCCACCCCAGCTCCTTCTGGAAAAGTGGAAGGCGTTTGCTGGTTTGCGGGAACTCTCTCCTCCCCAGGACGCAGTGCTCACCAAGCCTGGTCCATTTCTGTTACTATGTAGCCGCAATTCTGCCTGCTCCTCAGAACCCTCCAGAACACGCCTCCTGAGGCCCACAAAGCCTCTGGCCTTGTGATGTTCCTTAAGCTCTCCTGTACCTGATTCCTCCCAGGCAGGAGTGGCCCGAGGGTGGAAACACTCCCCACTCCTCCAGAAGGAGACTTGAGGTGGATTTTCTCAGCAGTGACAACCACCTAAGAGAAGTGGGGGACCCTGGAGAAGGGGGTGCCTCACACCAAGCCTCAGACAGGAATCCACTTTCTCCACTTTGTAATTAACATCTCTAAAGAAAGGGAGAGTCCCACCTGGGAGAGAGGAGAGAGGGCAGGAGCACAGGCTTCCCCTTCAACATTGAGTTCTTATTATTGAGAAGCAGATTCCTCCCCCATCAGTTTGGGAACAACTAATTGCCTTGCCGAAACTCAGAGAACCAAGCAGGTACTGTGGTGCTGTGAGGGTGGGTCGTTCCAGAGAAGCTGCCAACAGGGCCTGGATTCTGCTTGTGGCCCAAGAAGAACTGTGCCTCAGGAAGATTCGGAGTCTGGGGCTCCCCAGATCCACCTGGCAACTATTCCCTGAACTCTGATGTCGATGTGGAGGCTCAACCAAACCACACAACCCCTGATTTAAAAGGTTCACGGTTCCTAAGGGGAGGAACCATTCATTCACACTCTCCTCACCAGACAGTGAGGGCAGGTTCCGTGCCAGGCACCGCGGGGCACGGTGGGCATTCAGAGCCACATGAAGCTTGGGGTGAAATGCTTCAGTCTAGTGTTGAGGAGGCTGTGGGGGCACAGAGGAGGGCATCCACCTAGACTGGAGACCTCCGTAAAGGCTGCGTGCCGGGAGGTGGCAAATGGGAAGGAGATAGGAAGGAAGTCCTTGAAGCAGGAGCAGTATGGTCACATCATTGTGGCATGACAGCTTTGCTATGCTTTGGATATGAGGTGTCCCCCCAAAGCCCCTGCGTTAATGCAGGGAAACTCAGGGGTAAAAAATTGGATTACGAGAGCTGTAACCTCATGGGTCCATCTGAGCTTGAGTGGACAGGGTGGTCACTGCAGGCAGGTGGGGTGCGGCTGGAGGAGTGGGTCCCTGGGGGCATCTTCCCGGCAGCCCCTTCCCCTTGCTTCTCTGCTCCCTGGCCTCGGTGGAAGGGACGGCCTCCCTCTACCTCGCCCTTCTGCCATGATGCTCTTAGACCCAGAGCAATGGAGTCGCCCGACCTGGGACTGAACCTCTGATGCTATGAGCCAAAACAAACTTTTCCTCCTCTCAACCCCTTCTGTCGGGTACTTAGGTCACAGTGGCAGAAGACAGACCAACACATCCTAGGGCACTACATGCCTGGCGAGCGTGGACCTCTCACCATGCCGTGACATTCACGTGTGCCCGATAAGAAGCCCCTTGTTTGCTCTAGAGGTTCAGCCTGAGGATTGAACCTGGGGCCTGTGGAGCATGGGCTGTAGTGACTCCAGGATCTCCTCCTCTAGAGGGTGATGGCACGCGGCCCCTGGGCCCACAGGCAGGCGTGTCCTCCCTCATTCACGCGCAGTTCCTCTCGCCCATACGCCCCTCAGTGTAAATCCCTGGGGATGAACCCCTGACTGCTCATGGCATGCTAGAGAAACCCGGAAGGGTGCTAAGGGCTACACCCAGATTGCAGTCAAGCGGAACATGGCGAGGTTGTGGCCCAGAGAGGCATCGCCCCCTTCCTTACTGGGACCCTACTATGCTCAGAGCCCTACTATGTGCCAAATACACATTGTCACACACTATCCTCACCATGACCCTGAGAGGTCAGTGCTAGGGTCCTTATTTTACCAAGGACATTTCTGAGACTTGGGACCCTCCAGTGATCTGCTCCAAGGACATTGTGACATTACAGAGTCAAGCCACCTTCCTGGCTGCCTCAGCTTGTAGCCTGCTTTCCTGAGACCTCCAGGCCACAGGCATCCTTGGCATTTGGGCGTCAGCTCAGCTGGGAGCTCTGGATCCAAAGGAGCCCCTCTCTGCCCTGTCCCACAGCCCCGGCTCCTCTCTGACGGGACAGCACAGGCTTCTTCACCACCTGCTCCTCCCCTGGCTCCTGACCTGTTCACTCCCCTTACCTTGGTGCCCCAGAGCCTGGCACACGGAAATCCCACACACGCGGCTGCTGAAAGAATGAAGCCAAGTGGCCCTTCCCTCAGCCCAGTCTTATCACCATGATGGTGACCAGTATCCCACTGGGGACTTATACGGATGCTAGTGGCTGCAGATGAAACACCAGAGTCTCACAAATACAGGACTTCATGGGCTTCTCATGGGTGAGAGCAAGACATTTTGTAGATTTTCATTTCTACCCAAGCCAAAGGGTACCGTCTAATCAGATCCTATGTGACCAACATTTGGGACTTGCAAATGGATAGCACCCCTTCCTCCACGATTCCTCTCACTCACTCACACAAGTGTGGCTGAGGACGGTTGCACAGCCTCTCAGACAGTGTCCTTGCAGCATGCGGGATGCTCAAGGTTGTCAGCAGACACCTATTATCAGTCTCTGCCAGCATCACCTCCAATGGGCTCTGACTTCAACTCGATGCTACAATGTATCAGTCACTTTCAGTGTGAGCTCACGCTTCCTGTTTATTTGTGTTGATTGCTCCGTTCACTTGTGGCACCATTTTGGTTGTGATTTTTTTTTCTCTCTCCAATGCTTTATCGTCTCCCAATTATTTTTTCACTTTAAAGCAATGATAAGATCATTGGCCGTCCTTCAGCAAGTCACAGTCCCGAATGCTAGAGAATCCTTGCCCCCTGCCTCACGATCTCCTACAATCCTGGAGTGACCATGTCCTCTTTCGCTTTGAAACAAGACATAGGCATTCTTAAAAATCACCATGTGAGGGCAAAATAGGGTGAGAGGCACAGAACTCACAAATGTCACCAGTGACATATAAAAGAGTCAAAAAGAAAGCGTGAGCACAGTTTTATACAATACTGCATGAGTATGGCACTTGACCTTGAACAGACTTTGCTGGTGGGAGTGGACCCGTGCACACCTGCCATTACAACTTCCCATTTGGGGCTGGGGATGTGGCTCAAGCGGTAGCACGCTCACCTGGCATGTGTGGGGCGCTGGGTTCCATCCTCAGCACCACATAAAAATAAAATAAAGATGTTGTGTCCACCAAAAACTAAAAATAAATATTTAAAAATTCTCTCTCTCTCTTAAAAAAAAAAACAACTTCCCACCTGTTTCTGAGATTCTCCTTCTGCCTCTTCACAATGTCACCCCAGCTGCACCCCTTCCCACATCCCTCCCACCACCAATGTCAGATCTCTTCAAGGTCCGATGTCATATCTGGCATAGTGCCTGTGTAAAAAGGTGGTCATGTTTTTTCTCTCTCCCTTTTTGATGCATCCCAAGGTGTCGTTTTTGAGTGTGATGGCTCCTTCTGTTTTTCCCATGTCACATGGTGAAGTAGGAAGCTGGCTGTGTTTGTGGTGTGCATGGTTGTGTGTGTGTGTGTGTGTGTGTGTGTGTGTGTGTGTGTGTTCTATTTCTCTGTGGCTCCGTTCAGCTGGGTGCAATTTTCTATATTCGCCTGATATTTCTCAGGGGGCAGACGTTGCATCACCAAATGTGAAATTCCCATTATCTTCAGACGGCTTCTCAATATGTTGGTTGAGACAATTCATTTATTGGAACAGATTCGCATCTTCCAAACAAGTGTTTCAGCAAGACTCGCCATACCTGATTGACTTTTCATCCTGCTTCTGTTTATTCAGACTGGACCAAAAGGATCGAGTACCAGCCTGGCTCGGGGAGCGTGCCCTTGTTCCCCAGCATCCACCTGGAGACGTGTGACGGTGCCGTGTCCTCCCTCCAGGTCACCACGGAGCTGCAGACCAATTACATTGGCAAGGGCTGTGACCGGGAGACCTATTCTGAGAAATCTCTTCAGAAACTCTGTGGTAGGTTTTCCCCCCTGGGAATTTATTAAATTGATCGTGTGTTTAAATGATATATGCAAACAAAGGCCTATGTTATTAAACTAGAAAATTCTCAGCCTACCCTCGCGCCATCCATATTTGTAGCTCATAGATGGATCTTTGCTTTGGTGGAGGATCAGAAGGGCATCTCTTTTGGCATCTGACACAACTGATTCAGGCTCTACTTGCCAGTTGTGTGGCCTCGGACAAGTAGCCTGGCAAAGCCTCTGTTCTTGATTAGGAAGACAGAGATGAAATGGCACAATGTGTTTCAAAGCCCCTGGTGCAGAGTGTAAGGACACCCAGGCTCTCTTGCTCTGCTGGTTTATAGAGGGCCAGTAAGAACCAGTGGTATCAAGAACCTGGGCAGGGCATGGCTCTCTCCACAGGGCCAGCTACATGATTTGGAAGACCCAGTGCAAATGAAGACACAGACCCTTGTTCAAAGATGATTAAGAATTTTCAACAGCAAAGCATTAAACCAGGTGCATAAACTAAGCAATGGCTCAGGTCACCTGCCCATCAAACTAGGCCCTGCCCAGCAGAGAGGAGCTTTGGGTGGGCTGAGGTGGGCTAATGGAGATATCCACATATGGCCAAGAGAGGACTTGCGGTCAGTGGGCTGAGAGAGGGAGCTACAAGAAAGGAGGCAGGCCTGCAGCTGGGAAACCAGACTAATGAGGGGTTTCTGTGAAAGGAGGAAGCCTAGCTTTGTAGTTTTGTAACTTTGTAGCCTAGTAGTACACACATCTACTGTGTGCACTCTGCCAGACTCTCCATGTGCATTTGCTTAATTTAGTTCCCATCTTCTCTTTGGGGAGAATGTCTTTCACTCAGCTTTAGAGATGAAAAAATTGAGGCCCCAGAATGTGAGAATGACTCGTTCAAGTTCACACAGGTAGCAAGTAGCACGATTTGAAGGTAGGTCTGTCTGGATGGTGGGGTCTTTAGCTCTGCATCCATCACGGCCAACCCTGGAGCCAGAACATAACTCTCCAGTGAGCCTGGGGGAGGAGAGGATGAGCACCCCTGAGGTGCGGACAGTCAGACTGTTCATGGGTTGGTGGGCCCCCTCACCCCGCCCCTACCTGCAGTTCATTGGGTCCTTGTTCTTTCCAAGAAAATCCAGGGCCTAGTCTTGGACTTTTACACCACTCTGTGGGAGCTGGGAAAGGCTTGCTCCCACACAGGGCCCGTGTTAGGAGGGGTTAGCACCTCTTCAAGAGGAAAGGGTGGCTCTGGAACACCCAGTGTAGCTGCCACTCCCCAGGAGCCCCCCCACTACTAGGGGGGACAGTTTTCCTTCTTTGACATTGCAGGAACACACACACACACACACACACACACACACACACACACACACACACATCTTTACCTCAACTCTTCTGCCCAAAGAGCCAAGTGCAAATTTTAGAACTGAAATACATCCTGCTTGGGCATCACCATGTCCCTTCCTCATGTCACCAGGCTGGAAGGGAAGGCGAGTGGGAATGCAGACCCCTCTGGAACAACACAGGGTTGGGGGACACTTCAACTCCAGTGTTCCCAACCACTCTGGCAATATGCAGGAAACTGGCCCCAGCCTCTCCTTCCCTCTGCGTGTGCAGAAGCCATCAAAGTGACATGTTGCTTTGAACCAATGTCCCATTTGACTCCCCGTGTACCTGGATTATCAGTCAACTGGACCTTGAGGCTCCCTGGGTTGGAGTCATTTCCTCAACTCCTCCAGGCGAGAAGGAGATGATGGAATCTGTTGCTAAAGACCAGAGGGGCCCAAGGGCAGAATTGATTTCAAACATTGCTGGCAAGAGATGGGAGATATGGAGGGCGAGAAGGAGGAACTTCAGAGCAAACCTGTACACGGTGTGTTAACACAGCTTCTTCCATCTGGGCTGCCAGTGTCACCGTGCAGGAGGGCAGGATACCTGGGCCAAGCAGGCGCTCCCCACAAGTGCAGCTTCATCTGATGCTGGGAACTGCCTTTGAATGACAGAGGTCTATCTCTCTCTGGTGACCTTACCCCTGGCACTGCCCACCACACATATGGGAAACTGTCCCAGTAACCTGGGTGGCCAGACCAATCCTGCCTCCCATCAGAAGTTTGACTCTTTTTTTTTTTTTTTTTTTTTTTTTTTGGTACTGGGAATTGAACTCATGGGCACTAAGCCACTGAGCCACATCCCCAGCCCTATTTTGTATTTTTATTTAGAGACAGTGTCTCACTGAGTTGCTTAGCACCTCGCTTTTGCTGAGGCTGGCTTTGAACTCATGATCCTTCTGCCTCGGCCTCCAGAGCTGCTGGGATTACAGGCGTGCACCACCGTGCCTGACAGAAGCCTGACTCTTGATTGCACTGGGGGAGAGTTCAGGGAAAAGATCAAAAGCAAAGGCTGTCTCTGAACTCCAAGGAGGATACAGGCTGGATCCCTCCTGAGACCCCGGTTGGGCGGCAGTCCCTGTCTAGTGGAGGTCAAAATGAACTCTGGGGTAAGCTCTGTGTGTTTTCAGTGGGCCAGAGATAGGCTTCTTGCTGTGCTTCCCAACTAGAGAGCTGCCAGGTCACTTCAAATCTGTGCATTGGTGCAGCTTTCATTCTACAATCTTTATTGACTTTGGAGGGAAACAGGGAGACCAATTAGGATATTATTGCCATAGCCTAAGCAAGAGTTAATGAGTTCTGAACCAGGGGAGTGGCTACGGGGATGAATCTAAGACAGGTTTAAGAGGCAAAATCAGCAAGATCCAATGATTGATTAGCTGCCAGGACTGAGCAAGAAGGAATCTAAGCAGGCCCTGTGTGAGCCTCTAACTGGATGAGGGTGCTGCCCACCGCCCTCTGCAGAGGCCTAGCCAACTATGCTTCCCCACTGGTCCTCGTGGAAGTCTGGCCCTTGCCCACCTGCCTCCTCCTCCTGCAGCATCAGCTCCACAAGGGGTAGTGAGATGTTCCCGTTTAAGGGGAAGCCAGCGGCAGCCAACATCAGGCCTGCTGTCAGAAGTACCTGAGCAGAGGCAGCAGCACTTGAAAAACACCAGATGTCAGGCGTGCTGCTCCCTGAGATGTGTTAATGGAGACACTTCCCTTCTGTCTTGGACAAAAGCTCTGGAAGGCCCTGAAACCGTGTTCCCTATGTGAGGCAGTCTTAGCCTCACAATGTCCCGCCACCCTGGCTTTACTCAGAGCAAGGCTTCTAGAAGAAGTTGGCCAACCATTTACACTATTTTCAAATTCAGGGATTCAGGTGAGGGACCCCCTGCCTCAGTACCAGACTTTCCAGAGGCAAACTTGAGCGTGAACTTGAAGATGAATTGAATGTAGAAGCCATTAGCGAGACCTCTGGGATGAATTAAGTTTGGCATTAACAACAGCTCACGGACAGCCCACTTCAGTGACCCCATGTCACTACTTATTTCAGAAAATAGAAAAGGACTTTGTGATGCTTATACCCAGGGTAGCACAGAGGTCAGGGGCTGTCCCTCGAGGGGACCGCTGGACTCCTGGCAGCTGGCCAGTACCTACTGCATACAATGACAGGGACAGCTGCTTTGTTTGCAAGTCAAGAATTCCCAGGACAGGTCCTGCTGAAAGAAAGGCTGCAGACTGGGAACATGCTATTCAAATCAACTCTTCATATGTTGGAGCAGCGCAGGTGACCAGACCTGTCAGTCTTAGGACTGGGACACTTTTGAGCCCAGAGATATTCATGGAGGATTCATTCATTCATTCATTCATATATTTATTAATCCCACAAATATTTGTTATCCCTACAAATGCTATGCTAATTCTTGAAATAATACAGTTATTAATACAACTACCTAAAAATTCAGTCTCCTGGGGAAGACAGGTATGTTTAAAAGTTATAAGGCAGTTCTCTGGGAGCTATGAAAGTCCCTGGTTTCCTACTACACCTTTCAGCTTAACAGAAATTGTTCTCATCAAGAATCAGCACTAGAAACTTTAGTACGCTCAGAATAGCTCAGCTCCAAGCAGAAGCCATCAGGGGTTTCTCCAAGACAAGGAGAACTGGGGAACACCAGTTGGGAATCAGATTAAATCCCTAATCACACATCACAAAGAGTGGCGCACACTGACTCTTGAATGATGGTGGTGAGCAGTGGCCTCTGATTTCCTGGGGGTCATTGAAGCAGCTCCCATATCACATGCAGTGTCTGTAGTGGCCTTGTCCAAGCTGGTCAACAACTAGGTAGATATCCATGGCCTAGCCCCATAGCTGGCCACACCTCATCCAAAGCCCAGCTGGCTTCACTTAGAAATCCAAGTTTCTATTCCAAGGCTCTGGAAGGACCCATCTTGTCTAGGATTCTAGAGGTCGAACGGGTCAGCTTTTCATTACCTTGTCAGATGTTTTCAGAATATCTTAAGAGGACAACTTACAGAAGGAAAAGTTTAATCTGGGCTCATGATTCCAGAGGTTCG